TACCCAAAGCGAACCCAGTTACCCTCCTAAACCTAGCTAAAAACCCTGCCCCCTTAACCTAAGCCTTATCCCTAACCTAATTCCCCTTACCTATTGTACCCTATACCTAAGCCAAACCCTTACTAACCTATCCTAGACCCCCTTACCTAGCCCAAATACCCAGTTACCTATCCCCGGTTCACTCTTCTGCTAAGGACGGCGCCGTGTGTGCTTCGCCATGATCCGCGCGTCCGAAATCCGTGTCCTTGAAACCTGAAAAAGCCTCTTCCACTTACCTGCCTTATTTTTTGTTGAAACTCGACACTATTGCAGCTGCTGGTCTTTGGTCGAGCCCGCCAATGACGACGCCGGCCCGTTACTCCTATAGCCTCTCTGGCGCGGTGACTGACCAGGAATCGAGTGGGTCCACGCGCTGAGCTCGAAGGTTAGTTGGCAAGCTGCCACCTTACCACTACCCCACGCGCTGCCCACGATATTAGCCAGGCTAGCCTCTGTAGACCACTACTGGCTACGAAGACGAAAGGCGCGTCTTCCCTGCTTGCCAGGATCTTCTTACTAGGTGCTGAACGTGGTAGACACAGGATTCGTTACGCACGCATAAAGGATGGGATAACTTAGCGCAAAAGAACCTACCTAAAACCTTACCTAACACGCCGATGTTACCTACCTAGCCGCAAACTGGGCGCGCGGCTACCCATCTCCATACGCGGGGCGGCAAAACCGCCAACCACCATGCGCTCGGCGTCGATGCACCATGTGGCGGCTCGGTGGGGCTGTCCCCTACATGTCGCGCGTCCACCAAGGTTCATGACGCCTTGACGGGCGCTGCCGAGGACTGCCCCCTACAAGTGTAAACGGCACGGTAAAATAGCGCGTAATGCTGAGAAAGAAGGGACCGACTAATTCAGATTACATTTATCTACAAATATACACAACAATAAACTAACACTACTAAACTACTAGAACTACGAAAACTACTAAAACTACTCTTTAAAATCAGGAAAAGATAGGCACGGGACGAGCCGCCTTGTCCCGTGCTGCCGATGCTCGGTGATGATCACTCCGACGCGTAGTTCTGGGCTCTCCGCTGGGTCAACCGCAAGTCCCTAGCCCTTCCGGGACGGTGTGACCCCTCTCCACTCCCGCTAGTGTACTTCCTACGCAAGACGAGCCATGACTTTTAGCTGCGCGTCTCCAAAACCAAGAAGATAACAAAGGTTCAATCGCTCGAAACCGATGATCATCTGCGGGAGCTGTTGGAGGCGCTGCCAGCACGAAAAATATCATAAAACGATCAATACGAACGAAACTTGAAGAGGCGTAAACTGCGGCCTGCGCGCCCTTATACACCCTGTGACTTGGCAACGCGCCCAGCAGAAGAGGACTTGGCGCGATCTTGAAAGCGCGCCAAGTAACGCGATAGCCAGCGCTCCCGGCCTCCTGTTTCGAGGAGTGACTTGCATCGCGAGCCGCGACAAGGTTCATAAAAAGCATTTTTTTGAGGTTTGGAAACTAAACTTACCACTGTTATGTGTTCAACCCGATGCCTTCTAAAAAAATTTTGCTTTTCAGAGTGCTGTATGCATATGCCTTCTAACATCAACAGCAATAACGTCTACGCAATCACTTGTTCAGGGCTTGCCTCCAATTTTGACCATTTCCTACCCAAGTACTACTACAACGTGAAGCATTTCAATGCTTCTATCGACATATTCTCGATTTTTGGGCTCGGCGCAACGCATAGAAGTTGTTATGTTGTATGTTAATAGAAAGTTGTATGTTTTATAAAAATTTCCGCTTGGACATAGTAGAAGGTCAGATACCACGAATCGTTTCAAACTTTTGCTTACAGTAGGTTACTCATCGTGCTTCTTCATTCTGGGCAACTCACTGGGTACCTACCGTAAGCAAATATCTGAAACAAGTAGTGGGATCTGATCTCCTACTGTCAAGCGGGCAGTTCTTTATATTGAGTCGCGCCGAGCTGGGTCGAACGGTACCCCCTGGACCAAGAGTTTGTCCACCCTGAAGCGAGATTTGGCTACGTTACGGTGACGTCACATGAATCAAGCGACTGTGCGTCGTTTTTTTCCAAAAAAATACAAGCGGTATTGCACATGTGTTCAGCATCACCACGATTTTTCAGTTCCTGACAGATTTGTAAGTGGGTTACCGTACTCCATCATCATACTTTCTGAATTCCAAAGATGATCGATGCATTAGAATTATCTTCTGTTTCGCTGAAAACGCATTTGAAGCAACCTTTTTCTTATCACATCGTAAAGTGTTAATCACTTCACGCTCCTTATCAGGTTCGCGCTTTACTGCCGTGTCAGGTGTGGTGATACTTGGAAGAGCAGAGTACACCAGAGTTATTTGAGCATAATACAGCGTAGGCACTATTCTAATCTTTGGTTCAAGAAAATAACAGAGACAAATCTGTGTTTGTGTATGAGTAGTATAAAAGTTGCAGATTAATAAATTCCAGCCAAAGCTGTTGGTATAAGAAAATGTTAATACCAAGAGTATTGAGTTTTCATGCATAAGACCACCTTTTCAAAATCTTTAAGAGCTGGAAAAAATCGAGCCCCAAAAATCGAGAATTTGTTAATAGTAGCATTGAAACGTTTACGTTGTGGTAGCAAAGAGTAGGAAATGGTCAGAAATGGATGCAAACCCTGTATAAGTGATTGCGTAGACGTTATTGCTATTGATGTTGAAAGACATATGCACAGAGCACGTCCAAAATTCCATATAACATCAGTTTACCTTCTTCATCAGCATTCCGGCCATACTTTTTTCATAGAATGCCATACAAGGAACCACTACGATATAACATTATATCGTGCAGCTCTCCCCACGGATGAAAGACAAATCTGGTATTCTGCCTATTAAAGTTCGAAATGTATCAAGAACTTGAAAAACTAAATTTCGGGAGATAGATGTTGCGAAACCCACATGAGTCCTAAGAAAAACAACTGCGGTCAATGCACAATCTTATGAAAAGAAATGATCAGTAAAGAGTTGGTAAAAACTGATGTTCAAAAGTCGCCAAAATTGGTGCAATCTAGAAACTTCAGTTTTTTCACCAGATTTTTGCTTGCAATTTGCACTATATAAACAAAAGGAGTCCTTAGTTTTATGTAAAATACGTGAATTATTTCATGCAAATCTCTTTGGCTTTTGCTCTCTATCTGCGTACTGTACTTGAAGGAAATGCCGATTAGCCATGTAACGCTTATGATGTGCGAATCTCCCCTTGGGTGCTGACCTTTGTTCTCAGATAAGATGTTGGTGTTGTTATCTAGCTTTAAACGTTTCGGTGGAATAGCATAAAATAGAGAACTGCTAACAGGGAGTCCATCGAGTTTCTTGACTACTGCTACTAAAACTGCATCAAGGCGAACTCTAAATTCAAACCACCACTCAACATAGCTTGGCTTTGCTCACCTTTAATACATACAAAAGCCTAATCGCAATCATTTTATTGTAGCAGTCATTTACAGAAGATTCTCTGATATTTATTTATGTTGTCACCATCCGACGTACTGATTTTTGCTGCGAGTTGCTTGCTACCGTGTGAAATCTAGCATTCACGAGAACCAGCCATTAAGCTTACGGCACTCAGACGAATTTTTGCAATAAGAGTAGCCTATTGTATGCACCGGCTACTATAAAACTGCTGATGTACCATGCCGAGCTGAGTTTGTGCTCTGGGATTCAGTATTCGTTCAATCCAAAGTGATATATTACGATGCGACTGCAATGCTCCTGACTCGAGCGACCATCGCGTCTTTTTTTACGAATTATGAGCGGTGTGTGATTGAGCAAATAAGGTCTCATATAATGCACTCTTCTACTACTTCGTTCAAGTCATTTTTGGCACTCGGAAAAAAATTGCAAGGACACGGTAGCACTACTTTGTATTTTGAGTTCATGGATGTTACCTACGACGAGATGGTATAAGCTCCTGCAAGACGAAGGCGGTCGGTTCGATGTGCAACGCTGCTGCGACACAGCTGCGTCACAACCGCGTCACACATCGAACCGACCGCCTTCGTCTTGCAGGAGCTTATACATTAGGTATTAGTGTTTATTCGTTTCACACTCTAAGGAATTCTCTGGCGATTTGCCTACCTTACTTTCTGTTAATACCTAAACTGGATCCATCATTTTCTTCAAATGAGCATTATTTCCTCATTGTCTATTCCCTGGTTCCATAATAGTGAGAATAACAAGGAATGACCCAAGTTTCAGGCGAGAAACGTACGATAATAAACCAATCTGCTATTCACATAAGTTCGGGGAACGGCAGTAAACACTCACTTTCATAGTTTTGGTTTACTGACAAATCGCTTGAAAAACTAGCTGCGTACCCTTTACTTTCGATGTGAACGACTTCGCAAATGCCATTCTAGACTATCTGAGCTTGTAATCGTTTTCTATTTTTTTTCTTGAGCTTCCGGGGTTTCTGTTTTTTTCACTCGTTTCTACTTTTATTCATTTCATTTTTATCCTATTTGCCGAAATCCGATGGAAATTCAACTCAACCATGTCATTGCTTTTGCAAATGTGTTTCCATTGTAAGAAAATCGAGAACCGGGAAAGCAAATTTCGCTCTAATCAACTGCTTTGTTCCACACAACCAAAAGTTAAGTCTCAGGTGCAGAATTTGCCTAATTATGATAATCCAAATATGGAATAGACTGAGAAATTATGTTTTTTATTCCGAAGAGTCATTAAATCCTTCAAGTTTTTGTCAACATTCTTAAACAAACCCCTAATTCTTTTCTTAGCTTAGTACATATATTGCTGTCCGATACAATGAGTTTCACACTTGTTGCGTACCCCAATCGAAACCGTAATGTCAAAGCTCCACTTCGAGTAAGAGAGTCGACACAATGTTAATTCATCTATGTGAGACGCGTACGACTTTATGTTTTGTATTTCAGAATTATTTTTGAACAGCCGAAAAGAGAGAGCTCTGCAAGTAATTAGCGATGGCTGATATATTCAATCAAATTTTCAACGTAGGTTCTTTCACTTATGAAGATTAAAAGTTAGTGGGTTGTTTTGGTAATTCTCTAATTTCGCTTCCCAAAAAGCCCTAAGTAAGACCTCTTTCTTTGGTATCAAGTCTTTGGTTTTTCTTGCACTATTCTCATTGTCAGTTTTAGTTACACCTTGCGGAGGGTGTAGACGTTTTCCTTGGAAGGTTAGAAACAGTACTTCACCTACTACTATTAGACTAAAAAAGAACTTGGAGCAATTCTATAACCAGCTGGCTTACCCGGCTCCGCCCGGCCCTGTACACTATGATAAAAGTCCCATTCCTACCTCTGTACAACCTTTCCCTGTGTCCACTTCTACATGCCAATTCCCTATCGTCACTATTAGCGATCAGCAGGCTCACTCACCCCACTGTGCCAAATACCAGCTCCGTAGGTCGAACTTTGCAAAATGATAAAATCGAATAAAATTAACGGATAATTTCAAAAATCAATATTGTATTCGTGATCAGCATGCTCGATTACCCCTCTATTCAGCTCCCAGATCCACAGCTTGTAGTTTGCAAAAAATCGATAAAAATCGATAAAATCGATATCGATCGATGGCGAAAAGTAGCCTATGACACCCGCTAGGCGTCGGTATGTGTGTGTGTGTGTGCAAAATTAGGTCCGATCGGTTCAGAAAAAATTTTTCTATTCGGAACATACGTAACGACACACTCGCAAAGAAGCAAAGAGACTTTCAGCTCTACATATAAGAAAGTGCAGTACGCGCATTGGCTACTATATGTTTTACGCTTTCACAGTTATATATTGAGAAAGTGCATGATGTTTACTCATTAAAGTTTGGCGCAATGAAGAATTTGAGAAAAAAAGAGAAAATTCTATAATTTTTTTCGTAACCGCGTTGAACAAAGCAATACTCAAGTGAGCAGAGAATATGAACAAAAGCGAAGAAATCGATATCTTTGTAGTAGAGCTAACTAACCTAAAATGAGGAGTGGGGTGCAGGCATGGTTATATTTTTGTGTTTCAGTGCATCAAGGGCGACTACAGCAACTACACGAAAGACACAGTTCGCAAGGCCAGCGAATTCTTAGGAATAGCAGAAAATCAACCAATCAACATTCCTCGAATGAGGATAGCGATGGCAAAACTGCATCGTTTGAAGGAGCACGGGCAAGAGGATGTTGTCCGCCTTATTCGCGTCATTGCCATTATAATGGGATATCAGGTACGCGAACACAGTCGTGCACAATATTAAAACTTCCAAAAATCTTCGTCGATGTTCTAAAACACTACACAGGTTGACATACCACATCCACCAGAACCACCAGCACGAAACGAACACGTAGGTGGATGGTTTGGCCGTGATATCTGTGAAATAGATAATGAAAATTTGACACAATTTGTTGGACAAGATGGGAGAACCGTTGACCTCAAAGAAATCCACAATAGCTTGAGACGAACAAAACCAAAGACTCCAGAAGAATTTTTCGCAAACTTTATGACAATGCTTCTTGTGCAGGTAAGACCTTCTTCAGTAATAGATTTTTATAAACGCTATGGTTTTCGGCATTTGCTGTAGAAACTTGAAAAAATTTATCGCCTGCGGGAAAACCTCGCGATCTCCATTTTGTTGACAAAGTGCAAATTTATGGTAAGAGCTTATGTTGTTTGTTCAATGCAAACGGCAATGCCTATTACAAATTTCATTGAAGCAACTCTTAGGAGCAACGGAGAAGTGCCAGCAGATTTTAAGGAGTATCCAGAGAGAATCAGATATTTTATGTAAACAAGACTTTCTTTACAAAAGATTTGCTCACAACAGCAGACTTTTCTAGACCTGATCATCGCCCATATTTTGAGGTATCAGCTTGCTGAATGAGTTCTATCCAATTTGAATTTTTAAGTTCATAGCGTCTTACAAAATCACCTTTTTTCAAGTAAATGGTATTGCGAAAAACCCCGGCTAGAGAAGAAGCAAGAAATCCAAAATTCTGATGCACTTCTTCAAACCCGTAATTTTGACGTTCCATTGTAAGAACTTAGTAAAGTGATTTTCAAAAATTATTTTATATCCAAAAGGAGCTCATAAGCATCGACGCTTAGAGTTTTGACCAAATAAAAAGGAAGCCGTTTGTTAACCTCAGTCCAATATACGCATACATATTGCCCACTGGCGGCGTGGCGTTATGGAGCGAAGCTACGCCGCATTTGCCTGTGGTATATTCTGAGGGCCCTTTGCGTTGCGTCGCTCCTAACTGCACTCGCAGAGGAGCTAGAGCTACCCAGCGGATTGAGCCATTCTCCTTATTCTCCATGGATAAAGAGATCAAAATGTGGTTGAGAAACGCATTCCAAGGGCGAATCAAAATATAGATGAGGAAGTGTCTGCAAAGCAAGCCAAGAGAAAGCAGAAGATGAGAAAGCTAATTTCTCTTGAAAAGTCATTGACGAAAAATTTCTATCCTTTTTCTCTACTAATTCTCGTGTTTTACTCCTTCTGAACACTTCAACTCACATCCAGCATTGGATCATCCCAGATTCAGCCTTTGATTCATCCCTCAATTCATCTATTTTTCAAAAATCTTTTCAATTGCAGTCGTCTTTGTTTTGTTTGATTCAATCATAAAGTATGAGCATATCAGGTCGTAGTAATGAATGGCTCAATCCTCTAGCAGGAGCAGCGCTACTAATGCGGCTGCAATCAAAGGCGCAACGCAAATGGCCCTCAGGATATACCACAGGGTGATGCGGCGTGGCTTTGCTCCGTAACGCCTCCCCCCCCCCTTGCCCACTAGTGAAGACTAATGGAAAGTAATTGATGAAGGGTCCCTGCTAGCTCTTGCTCTAATCTAGCACTTGATTAAGAATTATAGATTGTCTCTATTAACGATAAGTTATCGTTCGTTGAACATATGAACGATAGTAGCACTTCGGCGGCAAATTTTACAAGCAGGACGATTTTTACATGAGAATGGTTTCTGAATATATACAAGCTTGTTAAATATCTTCGATTCTTGACAAATATAAGGACCTGACTTAAGGGATGCACTATGAATTTTTGCAAGCACATATCTCTTAGGTAGGACCGTATTCCTTATTTTCGGCTACGTCAGATTCTAAGCCAGCACTCTGGCTAGATTGTGGAGTTCACTGAAATTTATTATGTCTCGGAAACAGCAAGAAAAGCGCTTTCCACAAATAAGATCGCATTGAGAATTAAAATTTCTTGGAACAGCGGCATCGATTATGAGACAACAAAAATCGGGCAGATCTTCTGCAGCAAGCTAGTGCTTGTGCCAAAGACGTTTGCTATGCGATCTTTATTTCCACCCAAGGTTTTAAAGTTACTCCGCTATCTCTCAAATTCTTGCAAATGGTTCAAAGCGTCTTTGCGAGGCTAAGTCATTATGCATAATCTCCCTTATTTGATTTTGACGTTTCCCGAGCTCTTTACCTGGCTTTTCGAAAGCTTTATCAAGCTGTTTTCCCAGTTCTTTGGGTTACGCAAATTTCAACAATGATATAGTGCTGGAATTATCGCTCCTTCATATTTGCTGCGCCATCATAAGGAAGTATCCCCACTGTATCCCAAACGCAGTTTAGAAGGCAATTATGAAAAAAATTTTTTAACCTCAATACAAAAATTATTTCAGAATCAAATTTCGAAGAATAGCCAAAGAGATACAAGCAAGAAGAGATGGGGATCACAAAGACTTCTTTAGAAATCTAGAAGATGAAGTCATGCTGAAGCTGAAGAAGCTTGAGTTATAAGCAATTATATTTGTTGGAATCTAAAAATTCCGGAGCAGCTCGTGTGATTTACGTTTACCTAAATAGCAAGACTCCTAGCGAGCCGCCCATGGTGCTCACAACAAAGGTATAAACATTAACTAATGTACATTCTCAACATCATAAACTTGTTCATAAGTAACTTCACGCTCCTCTGCGCCTAGCCCCCCCCCCCCTATCCTCTTGCCCCAAATCCTAAAGTTTCTGACGCGAGTGGTGGCAACAATGTGCTCCAAACGGGCGATGGTGCACGCCGTACAAATCAAGTATGTTTTTTCTTTTTCTACCCGGTTTTTCATGAACATCGCAGGGACATCTCCTGAAACTTGTTAGAGTCATCTCTTTCGAGCCCTGAGCACATCATACCCAGACAGTAATAAATCTTTTGCACTCTAGAATTAGGGGGATAAGAAAGGCTAATAAAACTCTCCTGCACAACAACGTGGATTTTCTCCAAAATTTTGAAGAAGATCAACAAAGGGGCATTCGCGAATCCACTCAAGCAAAGTCTCCCCACAAGTAGGGCTTGACCTGTTTCTAATTGATTCTTCAATATGTTGCTGAGACAAATCATATTTTGCATCTATTTCAGGTAAACAAGTCTTTGCTAAAGAACTATTATTTTGTGTTCTTGTACCGTTGCTTCACTGTGCACTTATGAAACGCTTACTTAGCTCAATGGCATATTGCATTACGCAAGAATTTTTGGCCTTGACTAGGAACTATATCAGACTCAAATCTGGAAGAATAGCTAGAACTGGGAAGGACGAGCTGTTAAGAATCCGGACGTAAATGAAACTTGTAATCATTATTCCTAAAAACATACTAAATCATAATCATTATGCAAAGACCTAAGACCATTATGCAATCTATAATACCGCTCATAATTCGTCAAAAAGTCGCCGGACTGCGGCGCACTCCGCCGCAGTGCGCTGCAGTCCACCAGAGTGCAGCGGAGTGCGCCGCAGACCACTATAGTCCATCGGAATCCGCGTCGCATCGCCGTATCTCGTTTCAGAATGAACGAATTCTGAATCCGAAGAAACCACTCGATTCAACTTGGCGAGACGCATCATACATTGTAGAAATGCCACAATCTGTCAGGTACGGTAGGCGGGCAAAGGATATCGATCGATTGACTGCCGTTGCTGCAGCGACTGCAGTGTGAAACAACCCTTTCCAAGTTCTACTCGCCGTAATTTCCTTCGCAATGAATATATTCTGAATCCGAAAAGAGTATTGTGCTCAGCTGATCAAAACAAATCTTTCTTTATACAACATGCCTTGATATTCCGATTTCAGTATTCTCAAATCTTTTGTGGACGTCTTTTCAGAGAGGCGTAAAGCAGCGCGCATTGCCCCTAGTAGACTCCAGAAATGACTTTTCGATAGTAATTTTTCTGTAGATTATGGAGCCTTGAAAAGTCGCCGTAGACCCACTCTCAAAGGAAATAGATGGACTGTGAATTGTGGAAAAATCTTGTTGTCAAAAATTCTACTCGTCGTAACCGTAGAATATAAAGCTATCTTGCTAATTGACTTTGATTTTGAGAGTTTCCCAATCAGCAGGCTAGATATTCCTATTAGCAAGTTTTCAGAGATCTTCGGCTTACTTGATTTTTTCTCGTTCCACGCCCTTAAGCTTGCCAGTGGGATTTGGCCGAAGTGTTGATGATATTGATTTGAAAGGACATTCTGCTCATAGAGGTGTTGGAACACGTTGTTTATGAAAATCTTGGTCTATGGTCAAGTAGAGGGTCTTTTTTGCAGATATACGTAAGTAGGTAACTGCAACGGAGTTACGGAAGCTCGTAACTTCGCCTGCACCTCTCATGTATCTTTCCAAAGACTTGCCTGCTTGCTTTCGAAGTTAAAGTTACTAGAGACTGTGCTATCGATGGTGCATGTCTTAGGCTCCAGTCTATAAAATCGCCGAGTTACGAGCCCACGAAAACACGCCCTCATGCATTTTGCCGAAAATGTAAAGACCGCATACTTCGTCGAAAAACGATATAAAAAACGCGGAGATTTGAATGATCTGAAGGTAAGTTAATGGGGTGCGGCACACCCCCTTAAAAGCTGCGGTGGCCGCACCCCATTAACTACATAAAAAAACATTTTTAGCGGACAGTATTTATATCGATAGCCTAGACCTTGTAGATTTCATAGGACTGCTTTGAGTCTGATTCGTCTTTCTAGCTGTGAGTATTGGTGAAAGCACAGCGATCAAAAGCGAAAAGTGGGAAAAACGAGCTTTTGGTTGGCTTCTAATTCGACAGCTTGGAGGTCTTCTGAAGCGGGATTCCCGAGGTGGACAAAGAAGGAGTAGTGCTTTGTCTTGAGTGCAAAAACGGATAGCTAGTTCACCTTTAAAACAAAGTTAACCATGTTGGAATTTGACCATTTCGTTTAGGTAGCCCAGTATCTTGAATCTTCAGAATTCGCTCAGACTTTGTCTACAGGGGTTAATTGACATGCTAATTATGGATGTGTTGCCCATTATGTTTGATAGGGCCTTCAAGTAATGCTATCTCAAGTGTATAGTTCAGGGGGGGGGGGGAGTCTTTTTAAGAAAGCAATCAGGGGGGGGGTCGTAACCAGCGATCGTGTGCCACACCCTTTGCTTGACCCTGGTCGGGGGTCGTGCTTCCGTATTGCGTCAAAATCCCACCACCTCTTGTTGACTTGGACAATGCCTGTAACTGAAGTGTTTTGACAGGGCCGGGCGGAACTTGGTATGCCGACTTGTATTGAATATTTATATATATATATTAATACAACAATAATATAATAATATTATATTATATTATATTATTATATTATAATAATATAATACAATATAATAATATCAATAATGTAATAATATTATATTGTTATATAGTAGATATAATAGTCTAATATATACTATATATATATACTATCGAATTCGGATTTTTTCCTTTCAGTTTCAGTGTTAAAATCGACATTTTTCGAAAACTACCGCTTGAAATGGGCTGAAAATCTACAGTTATACTTACCTAGGCTTGTAGTATAGAACTAATGCGAAAACGGCTCAGCATTGCTTTGAGAAAATCAGGAAAATTTTCGTTATCTCTGTTTCTAGTCAAGGAAAAAATACGGCAATCGCACATATGGGTACCAGATATCGATAGTATTGATGTGAGCGAGTTGGAGGCCCGTAGAAATTATTTGGACGAAAATCTGAGTTTCTTTCGATTTTTTGGGCATTTGGAAATCTTTAGATTTTGAGTTCGAAGTCTCCGTGGATCGAGCTTGGCGCAAAAACATGAATGCTATCTTGTAGAGCTTGCTTTGCTCTATCGAACAGTACCCTTTACCCCTTATTGGGTTGAGTTTCGTTACTTTGTTGAAGCAAGCAAATAAAAACCGACATTATTTTCTTGACAACCTAATATATTAGGTTGGCACGAAAGTTCTGTCGCACCATACTCAAAAATTCAAAACTTCTGGTTTTTCCAACCGGCTCTTCATAATGTCATCTTAGCTGCTCTAATGTTCATCTGCTGCATAGATAGGAGCGATAGAAGAAAATTTGTCAAAATTTGAATTTTCTGGTTAGGGTCATCAAAAATCGGAAACTTGCAACAAAAATCAGAGCAGTCAGTATTGTAGGTTCTTTCACCAGCTCTTTCTAGCTGTGCAAAGCTTGCGCTGATTGGGCGTCTCTATGAAAAGTTATGATTTCCCTGAAAAATGCCAAAATAAATCAAATTCGCTCTTTTGTATTGCTTGCTCGAAAATCATGACTTTTCATAGATACGCTCAATCGGCGCAAACTTTGCACCGCTAGAAAGAGCTGGTGAAAAAACCTATACTATCTTATGCGATATTTTGCCACACAGGTTTGTTATAAGTATTATTTATTCAGCCTGACGTTTCGGCAACAATGCCTTCCTCAGAGACCTGAAAGATAGTCTGGCTCAGTATTCGCCGCTTTATACGATGCCGTCCTCCACTTGCTGAGGAAGGCATTGTTGCCGAAACGTCAGGCTGAATAAATAATACTTATAACAAACCTGCGTGGCAAAATATCGCAGAAGATAGTATTACTACAATGCCTAAGTTTTACGAACAGAGAACATATGAAAAAACCTATAATACTGAGTGCTCCTATTTTTGTTGGAAATCTCAGATTTTTTATGCACGAAAAACCTTACACCTTACACCTTACACGAAAAATTCAAATTTTGAATGATTTTTTTGAGCTTCTATCTCCTTCATTTGTAAACATTAACGAATATTTCAGGTAAAGATGCAAAGAGCATGAGTTCCTCTTTTAAGCAAAATTCACTACCTAATATTATACTATACTACAGGGTGTCTCAAAAAATGTATCGAACGTTTGATCTTTAATAACTTCCTTATATGGAAAGCTTTCGCGCACCTTTGGGTGCCCTATGGTAGGGCTAGCTTCAACTTAGATTCGCAATACAATGCCATTCACCTATTTCGCTTAGTCACTGTAGGACTACGGTAGGAATTTCGACTAATTTTAGGCTTCTGAGGGACGAAAAATGCTTTTGAAAAATTCCAAAAAAACCGAAGGACTTCAGATTAAGGTTTACCGGGATGCCGAGCTAATTACAAAGTTTTTCGTTACCGTACTCCATGGCTTCTTACGGTATGAGCACTGTGACGCTGAATTTTTGGCTTTTTTGGCAATTTCCGTCTCTCAGAAGCCTAAATCGAAAGTTCCTACCGTAATTCTACAGTAACCAAGAGGAATCGGTGATTCTCTTTATACTGCAAATCTAAGTTGGAGCTAGCCCTACCGTACGGCACCCAAAGATCCGCGAAAGTTTTGCACATGAGGAAGTTATTGAAGATCCGTTCGACACATTTTTTTGGGATACTCTGTATATTATATATAGGCTGTCCCAAAAATATATGAACACTGTTTGATTGTTAATAA